TTGGCTTTTTGTAAAGAAATTTTGCGAAATCCAAACACGATAAAAGACTTAAAAAAGCAAAAATAATAATTTGCTTTTGTGCTTTTTTGTTTTTTTTTTTTCTAGCAAAAAACTAAGATTTTTGTTCAAAAACGGACTTTCAAAAGGTAAAGTAACAGTAACACCATTTTTGACTACATTTTGTGTTTTTTCGAGTTATTTTTTGACAAAATTTGATTCAAAAACAAACTAAATCGTATAAAACAAACTCAATACCTTCAATTGAAATTAATTTTTAGAATTTTTAAGCATGTTTCAACAAAATCTTTGGTTCAAAAACGAACTAAATTGCGCGAAACAAGCCAAAACAATAGCCACCAATTTCGATCTAATTTGTTAAGGTTTTACCCAATTTTAGCAAAATTTTTCGAAAAACTTAATAATAATACAATTATTGTTGCATAATAGTTCCGTTTCTGGCCAAAATAATAAATTTTTTGACCAAATTTGGTGATTTTATGTAAAATACTAATTATGTAAAAAAACATGTAAAATTATTTCCTTAAATACTTTTAATTGGTAATTTTTTGATTTATTTATGAAAAAATTTTTCAAAATCATTGAGTTTCGGGCTAAAAAAACGTGCAAAATACTCAAAAAAATCAAAAAAAAATAGTGTCATCATTTTTGACCTAATTTAATGGCAGTTGTTAAACATTTGATTAAAAAAAATATTCAAAATTTTAAAATTTCCTAAAAAATCGAGTCAGAATTTTTTCAAAAAAATGGGCAAAAAGCGTTAGATATGGTGAAATTTCCCCACACCTGGCAACACTGTCTCAATTAATCCAAACTGCATGGGCATGTTGGTTGTCAGAAACACGGAATGGACGTTGGTAATGCCGGACGATGTCGATGCCGATGGAAAAGTCTCTTCTCCCGTCAACGGAAGCGTCCGTTAAGATCGTCCATCCCGAGGCGCTTTGCACGGAAATACAATTTAATAATAATAACGGGACGCTTCTTTGGAGTCCTTGCCGCTGGTCTAACGTGTGCTTTGGATGGGAGCCGGGATTGTGTTCAACTGTTTCATATTCTTTCAAATTGAATTGGATTGTGAAAAACGTTGCTTAAATGTTGATTTTTACATCGAGTTTTTGTGTTGGCGATTCGCGAGGGAGACGTCGGCGGGTCTCAGAGGAAACCAAAAATCTACGCAGGAAATAAGCATCGATTCATGACAAAATATGGAACATGTTGAATGCGTTTCAGTTTTTTTTCTATTTAAATTAACCTTAGGCCAAGCTAAACTATGTATTTATATTCCGGGGAGAGGGTCCAAAGGTCGGGGTTTGATTTATGGACGATTTTTAAACAATATTTATTTTAAACATCAACTGTTTAAATATTTATTCGAAATGATTGGTTTTCAAATAGCACGTAATTATGTTAGTGGGTGTCGTGTTTGCCAATAAAAAACAGCCAATATTTATTTTTAATCATTTATTAAAAAATAAATTCAGTCTTAAAAAACTTAAAAAAAATTGTCAGTGTTGGCGGTACACAACCTACATTTCTAAATAAATTATTTACGTGTGGGTTGCATAACATATCACAAAAACTGTCTCTTTTTCCAACTAAATATAAAATTATAACAAAGATAATATTATTTTTTTTTAAATAATGTACCTACATAAAATGCTGAAATTTTCGATGATAAACTAATTTAAGTATCAATAAATTATAAAAGTTTATCCAAAATCACATTTTTTTTAGTGTACTTAAAAATTTTATGTCGTTTCACATTATATTTTTTTAGCAAAAACACTCATTAGAGCTATACTAAAAAAATCCAAGCTTCTTAAAATTCTCTCCAAACAAATTTTGGCTATTTGTTTATTTTTGTCCTGAACTTTATACAGGGTGTGCCAGAACTCGCGCCCCAAAGAAAAATGCCATATCAGTAAGATACCAAAAACATGGAAAAAACGTTAAAAAAAATGTATCTATAAAAATTTCGAAGTTCAAATTTTGCATCTTGACTATTTATTTCTGTCGGAAAAATAATTTCCCAAGTTTTTTTGCCACACGCTATTAGAAGAGGAAACAAAAAGCTTTATAATAAATTGTAACTCCGTTTAATGTTATTTGTGGCTTTTATTGGGAAAATTTTGGTAACTTTACTAAATAATTATAAAAAAAAAACATATACAAGATCATCAGTCTCATTAAATAAATATAAAAAATGTCAAATGTCAAAAAACAATTGTCAAAATTTTTTGACAGCTAGAAATTTTTATCCGGGGTGCGAGTTCTAACACCCTGTATAATTATTATTATTGTAATGTAAAAAAAAACGAAAATTAAAACCAAAAATTATTTGGTTCTTTATAGAATGTTAAAAAAATTGTTATACTTTTCTTGAGAGTAACAATATAAAGTTTCTTAATTTCAAAATATTATTTCTTTGTGTCTGTTATTTTTTAGTATATTTCTCAAATAAAATTTGAAAATAATATTCTGATTCAATTCGAGCCTCCAATAGGAGTTTTTTTTATTTATTTCTAGAGCGTTCTGTATATAAGAAAATATACACTATAAAGTTACATTCACATTTTCTTTTAACATTAAATAATTATTTTATTTAATCTCAACCTTAGGTCGTAGGAAAAAAAAATACATAAAACTCATTTTTATCTATTTACGTTTTTTCGTAGATTTTAGATATTTTCTTGCAAACTTTTAATCTAAAATTAAAAAATCAACACTGAAATAATAAATCTTTACCGGCTTCAGTCCAAAAATTGTAAGATATATTATAGTTATCAGTAACAGTGCATTGACAACTTATTTTTTAAAAGTATTTAAAAAAAAATTGTCTGTTCACCAACTTGTAAGCAATAAAAACTTTATATGTATTTATCTGCAAACGTCACAAAAGTGACCACTTTTATAACTAAACGTCACAAGTAAAAGTTTTGCCTTTTAGCCATGGTGTAAAATTTTAAGCGTTTTTACTTTTACCATGACAACGTTGTTTCTTTTCTGTCTTTTTTACTGTATCCGCAATTTCTGGAGAGGTTAGTAGTTGCCCTACTCACTGCACTAGTTAAATTAATAAACACTTTCAAAAATCTCAACACAAATTCCGATATTGACGCGTGATGTTTGTTCATAAGTATTGTTATGATTTTATTACCTACTTGCAAAGCATTTTGTTCATTTACTTGCTAATTATAGTGTTGCTCTTTACTCTTTAACTGAATACGTTTGCAGATAAAATAAAACGATCAGCTTCGCCACATATCACTTTTACTCCTAATAATCTACTATTTATGTGAAAAAACAAAAATTAAAAACAAAAAAAACGTTTAGTTTTCTTTTTAAAAGTTAAAAAATTTTTAAGGAAAAAAAATGTTGTCTTTACGACAACAGTACAAAGTTCCTTACTTTCAGAACATTCTTTCCTTGTTCTTTTGTTATATTTTAGTATATTTCCAAAATGAAATTTGAAAACAACATTTTTGCACTTATTTCTGAAGCGTCTTATATACAGGCTGTCCCAACGGTCCGAAAAAGCTCTATAACTTGTTTACTTTAAGAGATATTGACTTTTTCTTTTTTTTAGATTATAGCTGCGTTTTTGATGCACATTTTAAAAATATTGCGGTTTATATACAGGATGTCCCAATATTAAAAAAACACTAAAGTTATGTTTTTTTAAATGGAATCTACTCAGTTTGATTTTATTTTTGGATTCTACGCTAAATTACAAATAACTTTTATAGAGGTTGTTTTCATTTATCTGTTATCAATTTTGATTTGTGGCGCTTTTTTACCAGAATTTTTGAAATGCAGGGGTCTGTCTAAAAATTCGTAACTTCTAAATACTTGCACACAACTTAAATTAAGTAACGCCGTTTGATTCCTGAATGTTTGCCGCATCTTTTAAGTGTTTACTCAACAACCTGCTCAGTGGCATGTGCCTACTGCGATTTTTTAAACATGACAAATTAAAAATGTCAAAAACTATTATTGTACCAATCAAAAGATCTTTTGACAAGCTTTCCATCAATATAGGGTTTGTATAGTCCAGTGTAAAATTCTAAGTTGCTATCCTAAATTAACTAAATTTCGAAAAACTTTTCTGTTTTGGACAATAAAAATCGAGTGGGCTTCTGTCATTGTTGCGATCTGTCAATTTTATTGGGAAGATTATAAGTCCCAAAATGAATTTTACTCGTCAAGAACTCATTAACATGGTATACAGTCTTGGTGAAGCGGATCATAATATTTTATTGGCTCAAAGAATCTACAAATAAAAATACCCAAATGCAAGACTGCCGCAAAGTGCTGCATTTAAAAAATTGTGTAAAAATGTGTATAAACTGAGACCAACAAACTGCGGAGGATATGAAACAAAAAATACGCGATACATTCCATTTAATAAATGCAGATATGCTAAGTCGTGTTAGACTATCTTCTAGACGAAGACTGCAAACTTGTATTGAAGAAAATGGTTATATTTTTGAGCATCTGTTATAAAGAAAATTGTAAAATAGCTTTAATGTTTTGTTTTTTTTTTATTTGTTATTGTTTTTATATTTTTCTACTAAATTGTGTTAATACTGAGTTTGCGATATTTTAGATTTTGCCTAATTTTCTCTGTAACTCAATTGTGGACAATATTCTACATTTTCTTGCAGCAAAGAATTTCTAATTCCATACTTTTGTTTATTTACTGTGCTAATTTTTTTTGTGCATAAGGCCCACTCGATTTTTATTGTTCGAAACAGAAAAGTTTATCGAAATTTAGTTAATTTAGGATAGAATTTTACACTAGACTAAAAAAACCTTATATTGATGGAAAGCTTGTCAAAAGATCTTTGGATTGGTGCAATAATAAATAGTAGGTGCTATTTGAAAAAAATGAGTTTTTGACATTTTTAATTAGTCATGTTTAAAAAATCGCAGTAGGCACATGCCACTGAGCAGGTTGTTGAGTAAACACTTAAAAGATGCGGCAAACCTTCAGGAATCAAACGGCGTTACTTACTTTAACTTGTGTGCAAGCATTTAGAAGTTACGAATTTTTAGACAGACCCCTGAATTTCAAAAATTCTGGCAAAAAAGCGCCACAAATCAAAATTGATAACAGATAAATGAAAACAACCTCTATAAAAGTTATTTGTAATTTAGCGTAGAATCCAAAAATAAAATCAAACTGAGTAGATTCCATTTAAAAAAATATAACTTTAGTGTTTTTTTTTTAATATTGGGACAACCTTATATAAACCGCAATATTTTTAAAATGTGCATCAAAAACGCAGCTATAATCTAAAAAAAAGAAAAAGTCAATAACTCTTAAAATAAACAAGTTATAGAGCTTTTTCGGACCGTTGGGACAGCCTGTATGAGAAAATACACACTATAGTATACACCCACATTTTATTAGTATTTAATAATTATATTATTTATTAATAATTTTTATACTTAATTTCTATGTCCACCACTGTTTCAGTCATTTTATTGTAGAAATAAGCTAAAAAAAATTACATAAAACACACTGTTCACCTGTTTATTACTTTTTTTTAATTTCTTATTTTCTTTACAAACTTTGTTTTCTTTTTGATCACGTTTAAAGAAACAACATTTGAATAATGAATTTTTACTATCTCGCCTAAAAATTGTGAGATTTGTTATAGTGAACTGTCACTAATAATGCATTGACAACTTATTTTTTAAAAGTATTTAAAAATAAAATTGGATGTGGACCAATGAACAAAAATTAAAAAACAGTTTCAGTTCTTTAGAAATTTTTGACGTAAAAGTAAACAAGATAATTGAGTTTAAGATAATTTTTTTACTCTTTGATGTTGCAAACATAACGTTCCCCTTAAATTATTAATTATTTCAATTTTTTGACCAGAAAATGAACACTGTTTATTTCGCTCTAAGACTTGAAGATGAATATTTAACATCTCCGTCATGAGCTCGTTGAATCAATAATTAAATTCCAAGTTTCCTAGTCTCTAATGTACACAAGCTAACAATGGTGAAAAAAAAATCCCCCTCGACCCTTGCCCCCCGGCCCACATTCCTATTAATGTACCTGTATTATCATCATTGTCGCATTTAATAAACTTTTAATTTGTCATAATTGGTTTTATTTCTGCATGCCTCTCTCCCTTCTCCGACCCCGAATAATTCTCGTTTTTAGGTAAAAATGCATGGCATGTCCGGACGCAACGTTTCTTTAAATGAGCACCTTTGCATGGCGTGTATTGATTTGGCCCCCAGACTGTACAGTCAGCCGACGTACCATAAACGGGAGTCGTGCACGTCGGAGGTGACCACCACGACGCTGGTCACCGTCAACGGGGGCACGAGGCCCTCCTCGAACGGCAGCGCGCAGAGCAGGAGCCCCTTCTTGCAGCCGCCGAGGCCCAGCTATGGGGGCAACGTCTAGAGACCTGTGTCTGGATTTGTGTGATGGTGATTTTCATAAACTTGATGTGAACAGGGTCGTGTAGCACTTTTATTCAAATATTAAATATTTTTGTTCGGTGCGATTGTAGTTTTATTTCGGAGGCGAGATTTGCATATTCAGATGGATTATACATACCAGGTGAATAAAAAGTATGGAACCAATCGTTTTTTTCGTAAACTAAGCACTTTACGAAAAAGATAATTAGTGTAGCGTCAAGTACAATTAAAATGTGACCATTTATCAAGAATAACATTTTTCGTAATTTCTTTTAGTTTTCGAGTTCTGGAAAAAATTTTTTTTTTAAATGGCAACCCACCATACTAACTGCACTAGTTAAATTAATAAAAATTTATATTATAGTTATCAGTAACAGTGCATTGACGACTTATTTTTTAAAAGTATTTAAAAAGAAATTGTCTGTTGACCAACTTGTAAGCAATAAAAACTTTATATGTATTTATCTGCAAACGTCACAAAAGTGACCACTTTTATAACTAAACGTCACAAGTAAGAGTT